TTTTTTTTTCTTTCCGTGAGAGTACCAAAAAGAAAACGGAGTGGTACCCAGGCTCGGCAAAACTCGGAGCGCAGTGAAATTCAGGGTCGACAAAAACAGGCTCGAAGGTACTAGTGGTTTAAGGCTAGAGGAGGAACTTAAACAGGCGACTAAAAGAGAAAAAGAGATTAGAGACAGGAGTGTCAGACTAGAGGGTAGGGAGGCAGACAAAACTGCACTGGAGGGGTTAGATGACTCGCCCCTTAGTAATATTGAGAAGATATTTAAGGAGAGCATCTTGTCCATGCACGCATACATGGACAACAAACTGGATACAATCCAGGACACCTTGGACCAGATCCTGAATGCCATGCATAGGCCAAGAATCGGGCCAGCAGTTTTGCCATCGCTGCCATTCTTGGCGATGACAGGCCCCTAGGACCATCACCAAGTAGTACATCAGCAACAACTATGTCACAGACTGTTGCTTCTTCATCTTCCAGTCCAGTGACAGGAGCTACACCACAGTCGCCACCTGTCCCGCCAGCTGGACAGCAGTTACCTTGGTATCCCAAGACCCCCCTGAAACCACCTCCAACCTTCTCAGGGGACAAGAAGGATGAGGCTCTCGACACGTGGTTGAGAATGGTGCCAGTGTGGGTGAGGGCAAAGAGGACAGTGGTAGAGGAGGAGGTGATTACTGCTGCATCCTACTTAGAGGGTTCAACAACTCACTGGCTAAATAGATTGGTTGCTTCAAAAGGATTCGGCAGGAACATGGGAGATTGGGCGCAGACCCATACCTTAGAAAGCTTTATGGATTTAGTGGAGGCACGATGGCACAACCCTCAGCAGGCACAGATTGTCACTGATGGGCTATTGAAACTTGACTCTAGGAAGTACAAGTCGGTGTGTGAGCTCACCACGACCGTAGAGCGTCTGATTGTCGTTCCAGGAGTGGAGTACAATCCATAGGTCTTGTTGACCATGTTCTTGAGATGTCTTCCCACAGACATCAAGAACTTATTAGCCAGTGAGGCTCGTCGAGAATATCACACGTTTGAGACATTCAGAAAGAAGGCCCTAAATTTAGAGGCTACGTTGGGTGGTGCTCAAACCCCCACTACGGTTGGAAGAAAGAAGAAGACTCCACAAGAATGGAAGAAGAAGGGTAGTTGATTGATGATGGTTTATTCCGATGGGCATCAAACTGAGATCAACGATGTTTTTGAGCTTGTGGAGAGGTCAAAGTTAGATGGCGAGGAGAGTGTTGAGGGTAGCAACCTCGCCGCAGTAGTTAAGACTAAGGCAGCTGGCCGCGGCAAGGGCGGTCAACAAAGGAGTCAGGGGCAAGCCGCCAACCCAAACAAAATAGCTGCTTGGGTTAGGGCCGGTTTGGATCAGGATGTGTGGCGAGACCGTTGGTCGCGTGGTGCTTGCATAAACTGCGACAAGTACGACCATACGCAGTTTAAGTGCAAGAACCCGAAGTTCTTGCAGAAGATCCCTCCTAAGGGTGGGTATCCTTCTTCTCAGTCTGGGGCCTCTACGAGCTCCAGCTCGAGAAATACTTAGGGTCGATAGAAGTTGTAGCTGCTTCTATTCTCGTTGAAGCGGGTGATGTACCCTCCCCATTTCAAGAGTTTGCCGAAGCTATTGACGCCTTAGTCACCCCGCAGGCACATCCGGACCCAACCATACTCTGTACGTTGGATGTGTCTAAAGCCTTAAAGGACCTTCAAGGTGAGTGGTCGGCAAGGGACCCTCGTGAGTTCTGGGTGGCACTAAGTAGAGGTCCTAGAGGGGAGCACTTCATTGTGGAAGTTGGTGTGGGTGGTCGCAAGTGCGGCGCCTTTGTAGACATTGGCTCCACGCGAAACTTCATAAGTCACGACTGCGTTGATAGACTGCGCCTAAAGGACCGGGTGCAACGCCTTAGTAGACCGGTAGCATCTACTTTGCCAACAAAGAGCGCATGACGGTGGAGGACTACGTTAAAGACGTGGTCTGCACGTTCTCCTACCCAGGAGGAGAGATAAACCATAAAATATCATTCCTGGTGAGCGACGATTTGCCCTTTGACATGTTGTTGGGCATGTACTACCTCGAGGTTGCCAAACCCCAGTTTGACTGGGACAAGAAGGTGTTGAAGCACGATTTGCCTAATGGGAGGACCGTTAGACTGCCGAAGTATAAAGCCAGTAGGTTAATAGACTCCTATAGGTGCTAATGCTCATCGGCCTTCTATAACTATTATAAACGGAACCAAGAGGAAGGAATGTACTTAGTTTATGTCTCTGCGAAAGGGGAGGCCGTTAAAACACCCCCAGAGATAGAGACCATCGTCACTAAGCACCCCGATCTGTTCGAGGAGCCTACAAGAGTCGTAGACAAGGAGGTTGTCCATGCCATAGAGATCATCCCAGGTAGCAAGACGCCTAAGGGAAGAATGTATAGGATGGCTCCGACCGAGTTGGACGAGCTTCGACGACAACTGAAAGAGCTCACAAAGAAGGGGTGGATTCGGCTTAGCACCTCCCCCTTTGGCTCACCAACATTATTTGTTCCAAATAAAGGGGGAACACTAAGGATGTGCATTGATTATAGAGGCCTCAATGCCATCACCGTTAAGAACGCAGAGCCTCTACCCCGCATCGACGACCTATTGGATAGGGTGCAGGGATATAAGTACTATACAAAGATAGACTTAAAATCCGTCTACCATCAGATTGCCATAAGACCAGAGGACCAGCACAAAACCGCATTTCAGACCATGTACGGTCTGTACGAGTTTGTGGTGATGCCTTTTGGCCTTTGCAATGCGCCGCGTACATTCCAGCACTCCATGATTAGGATCTTCCTTGACTACTTATATAAGTTCGTTGTCGTATACCTCGACGACATACTTATCTTTAGTAAGACTCTCGAGGAGCATGCTCAGCATGTAGACAAGGTACTTTCACTTCTTCGGCAGCACAAGTATAAGATAAACCTAGAGAAATGCGAGTTCAATCGTACTCGAATCTTGTACTTGGGTCATGAAGTATACGCGGATGGGATTAGGCCCGAAGATGTAAAGGTGGCTAGCATACGTGACTGACCATGACCCCAGTCTGTGACTGAGGTCAGATCATTCTTGTGAATGTGTGGTTATTACTGTAATTTTGTGAAGATTATAGTACGATCGCATCTCCCTTGACTGATCTAACTCGACTTGATACGCCATGGGACTGGACCGACGAGTGTGAAGCAGCTTTCAAACGGTTGAAGCATGCTCTCACACACCATGAGGTTATCATGGTACCTGACCCGCAAAGGCCATTTGTTGTAACCACTGATGCAAGCCAATACGACATTGGCGCAGTGCTGGCTCAGCAGAAAGGGAAAAAGTTGAGACCGGTCGAGTACATGAGCAAAAACATGCCATCAAAGAAGTTGGCAAAGTCCACCTACGAGAGGGAACTCTACACTCTCTACAAGGCACTTGTCCACTAGAGGCACTATCTGTTAGGAAGGTTCTTCTACTTGAGAACTGACCATCAGACCCTCAAGTGGATCAAGACAACCAGTTCTCTCCGATGCACTCAAACACTGGATTGAAGTCATAGATCAGTATGACTTCAAACTAGACTATGTGAAGGGAGAGTACAACAAGGTTGCAAATGCGTTGTCTAGGAGGGCAGATTACCTAGGTGCGCGGATTTCTGAGTTTGGCTTGTCTGAGGACGTTACTCGATCTTTGGGGGAAGCCTACAAGGAAGATCCCATTACGATGGACATCATCAACAAACTGCAGGCCAAAGATAAGGCCACCATTGACGAGTTTGTGATGGTGGATGGGTTACTCTCTCTTGAGAAGGCAGGATTTAAGAGGTTAGTTGTTCCATCTAAGGAGATTTTGCGTAGTTTATTTTTAGGTGAGTGCCACGACGCAACGGGACATTTCGGCTACAAGAAGACTAGTGCTAACTTAGTACAACGATTTTGGTGGCCTAACATGCTGGACGATGCAAAGTACGTACAGGCCTGTCAGGTCTGTCAGCGGGATAAGCCGCGGACTCAAGCTCCGCTTGGGCTATTGAAGCCTCTACCCATTCCTGCTGGCCCAGGGCAGAGTATCTCCATGGACTTCATGGATACTCTCGTGACCAGCAAGAATGGCAAGAGGCACATCTTCGTCATAGTTGATAGGTTCACTAAGTATGCTAGACTAATTGCCATGCCGGAGACTGCCAGGACTGAACATGTCGTCAAGTTATTCATGGATAACTGGGTGCGTGATTTTGGACTGCCAAAGACAATCGTTAGTGATAGAGATGTGCGTTTCACAAGCGAGATGTGGAAGAAGACCGCTGAACAGATGGGCAGCCAGCTGCAGATGACTTCTGGGAATCATCCCGCAGCAAATGGGTAGGCTGAACAGATGACCTGTTGGTGCAGCATCTGCTGAGGCATTACATTAAGCCCAACCAGGATGACTGGGATGAGAAATTACCTCTCATGGCCAGTCTGTACAACAATGTTGTACACAACACCACCGCCGTCATTCCTAATCAATTGCATCTGGGATGGAAGCCTAGATCTGCTCTAGACTTCCTCCTGCCCGAAAACCGAACTACCACAACTCCTGGAACCATTGAATTTGGTGTCCAGTATGAGAAATTGTTGCAGCAGACTGTCAAACACGTCAAGAAATCTCAGGAAGCCATGATTGCTTCTGAGAACAAGCCTCGCCGACAGTCCACATTTCAGGTAGGGGAACGTGTGTGGGTCGAGGCTAGTGAGTTGGGACAGGAGTTTGGCATCTCTAGGAAACTAATGCCCCCGTATTTTGGTCCCTGGGAAGTCTTAGACATTCTGGGGAATGATTTGGATGGTCCCTCGTACGTCATTTGTATCCCTGGTCACCTACGCACGTACCCTGTTTTTCACGCCTCCAAGCTTGCACCTTTCGCTGAGACAGCACAGTTCCCATCACGGAGATCTATGCTGCCCCCAACCATGGATGGCCACGTGGACATCGACAACATCCTGGATCACAGAGACACGCCTGTTCCCAAGCCACCTGGCAGGGGAAGACCTCCTAAACCTGCAAGGGAGTACATAGTACATTTCAGGCATCATACTGATCCGAAGGATGATCGATGGATTTCAAGGGAGGAACTTGTCAAGACAGCTCCTCAGATCGTGGCAGATTATGAGAAGAAGCTAAAGGGGAAGGCACCGGCATGAAGCATCTCAACAGACTTTCGAAGCTAAGGGGGATGGAATGTGAGGAACGAGCCCTCAAGGGGCCCTGTCTGACATCACATGTTCTGGGCTAAGGCCCCAGCAAGCCGAGTGCCCGCCCTAAGTGAAGGTGGGCCTGAATATTCGTCAAAGGCCAAATTTCGACATTTCCATATGTGGGTATTCAGGCTCTCGCAGCACGCCATTTGGTTGGGGAGACGCGTGAGCCTACTAAGCTGCGTTGTACAGTTGGCCCAGGCCTTGACAGTTGCGCCTGGGCACATACACACAAAGCAGGGTCGATACATTGGGAAGCAGGCCATCGGCCTTTGGAAAAGCAGAACTGCTGACGCACCTACCTGGGAGCCCTGCACAGATGCAGCAAACAGCCCAAGTCCGGAGACTCAGGCCGTGCCCAACTGAAAAGGGCCCAGGCCCTCAACTGTAGTCTCGGGCCTGGGCGCAGGGTCTGAGGCCCAACCGGAAGCTATTGGAAGCTTCCAGCCAGGCCACACGCAGCATCGAGGAAGCTGCCACTTCCACAAAGGGAGTAGGGCAGTCCAGGCCAGACATTCTGGCCAGTGCTGGCAATGCGGAAGTATTGCTGCGCTATCGCTTAATGCTGCACTGCTGCCAAGGGCGCTGAGGGGGTGCGTAGTGGTGAAGTGGGGCACTGCAGGGCAGCGGGGCGCAGGCAGCCATAGCCGGGCTGCTGAGTGCCAGGGGGGTAATGCGGGCGATCGAGTGGTCTTCAGGGACAGAGGCGAGTGTGGGGTAATCAAGGTCTGACTGAGGGTGACGAGATACGTACCTGGTGCATGAAGAGAGGTCGGCTATGGTGTTGACGGTCATGTACATTGGTCTTCGAGAGTCGAAGTGAGCCTGTTGTGTGAACCAGCTGTAGGTAGGATAGTCGGGTAGAGTAGGCTGGGCGCTGGGCGCCAGACAGAGAAGAGCGACTCTGGATACTTCATTGTATTGCTCTATATGGTTGGTTTCTCGGTGCATTTTGTACTCTCTGCTTGAACACGACTACTCAGACAGCTGTGTGATTTCGCAACCTGGTTTTCTGTATATCGTTCAAACTCATATTCCTTGCACTTGTACGATAGAGGCACAGTGAAAGGGGAGTCAAAAGAAGAATGAGAAAAATGAATGGTTTCACTGTGCCCTTCATGCTTGTCTTATTTTTTTTTAATTTTTTTTTTACCGTTTGTTTCGCAAAGTGCGCTCTTTTAGTTTGTAGTTATGTGTCAGCCTCCTGATGAGTCGGTGAAACTCCGACGAAACAGTTTGTCACAGCCCCTCGTTTGTTGTCCTCTTCTCCCTCTCTGCCTACGGTTTAC